TATTGCTGATTAACAACAGCAAAAACGATCAAGAGGAAAATAGAAATAATTAAAGCACCTATCTTCTGCTGTCTTTGATTGATTTATAGTTAAAATTTAGGTGAGCATTATTCACAGTAAAATCTTGCACAGTCTACCATCTGGAGGGCTGGGGAGAAGAAGGAAGGCTCTACCCTTTCTACGTGGCATGGCTGTAAGTGCACCGAGATCTGTGTTGCTGGAGTAAAAAGTGTCCTGTCAGTGAAATCCTGCTACTCTCATGGGCAAGAAGCTCCACTCCCTTGCAGGCCGTGTCCCTGCCAGAGCGGAGAAAACGCTCACTGGAGTATTTCCACCAGTGGCTCCATCACACTCACATCTCATCTTTTCTTCAGTTTGTGGTGAGCTCTGTCACTCCTGTTGTGGTAGGGTTTTGGGGAGACAGTAAGAGTCTTATTCCTTCATGCATGCTCATTAAGAGACTTGCACTAGTCTTCTGGGGACAGTTGGCTGGTTTTCAGCTGACTCTAAACAGACTGCCCAAAGTCACGAAAAGAGTCAAAAAAGAATGTTATTATATTAATGTTTCATAGCTGCCAGTTAACACAGATGGGACATACAGTCGATTCCATGGCAGACTAAACAGCAGCTAGGCACCCCGTTTCATCCCCGCCACCTCTGCCCGCGGGCACCGCAGGGACGGATGGTGCTGGAAGTGCCAACCGCGGCGGCCAAACTGCGCGACCCCACTGGCAGCGAAGCTCATCTGCGCCGCTCTGAAGTTTCAGGGGCATGGCTGGCGTGGGACATGCGCTGGGAAAGGGCAGTTTCCAAACTAATGCAACTCACGGCACGTGCACCGGAATGATTTCTGCTGCAGTCCGCTGGCACAGGTCCTTGCTTCACCCCCCTCACACCCTCAAACTGCCTGGGAGATAGAGAGCACTGATAAAAGTATGGATTACAAAGCACTGATAGAGCAAGTGGAATATATCAGTTTATTTAAAGACACTGAATTACAGATGTTTCCTGAACATCTCTAGGTATTAGCAAGGATGAAGAGCTGTAGCCCAGCACATGCCAGAGAGACAGCCCTGAGCTCGATGACACATTTTACATGTTTTTGAAATTGAACATACAAAGGGTCCAAGTATTTTTCTTCCTCTTCTGTTCTTTGCCAGAAAGTGCAGTCCCAACTTGTGAGTTTTTACACATCTCCTGTAAGTCACTGCATGAACATTTTAGTTTGATTTTTACATTACGATCCTAGAAAAAATGTGTATACTGAAACCTGTAACCTTTCCAAAGCTATATTTAATCTTATTATTACTGGTTGGCATGTTATCTTGAGAGAATCTCTTTGTATCCGAGTGCCAAGATAAAATTCTGCTGAACTGAGTTGGAGAGAAGAAAATGATCTATTTAATATACCTAAAATATGTACAGTATGATACTGATTGCACTGGCATCTATTAAAAATTATCCTATGGGACACATACACCAAGCACAGCATTTGGGACTCTGAAGCATGGGCATTTAGCTCATAAATAAAACCACAGTCTCACTAATGCCTTCTCTCTTTGATGACACAGAGAGGAAAAGTGTGCTCTTGATTTGGATGTGGGGAAAAGATGAATAATCCTCCATTTTCCATGGTAGATTTTCAGGGAATAACTTTACCGCTGAAAATAACTGCATGTCTTCTAATCTCTCTCTGTTTTATAGCGGTTCTGATAAACAGAGTCTTCTGCATATCAAGGAATGGTTAGTGGCAAACAGGTATAGAAATGCCTTCTGGTTTGGTACAAATTCATAACACCAGCTTTTAGGTCTTTTGTACGGGCTGGGAAATGGTGGATTGACTTAAAAGTTTCACTAGTAAACGTTCACGGTCATTAACTGGATTAACCCCAGTGCTGTGTAGACACGGCTGAGAGCTTTACCAGCACATTTCTCCCCTCTCCATCACGGGGTGCCCAGTGTTTCAGGTCTTACCCCTGGCAAGCAACTGTGCTTTGTCCTAACGGGCCCTACAGAAGGACACACTCTCCCTGCCTGTACTTACTTCATTTCAGGTTTTTTCACTTCTAGAGAAGTACCTCAGTGATTTTATGCTGAGACCTTGCTTTGTATGAGGTGTTAACTAGATTTAAATTTCTTCCTTCTCTTAAATTATATAGTTGATTTTACTTTTCTTATGATGGGAATTTTATCGTAAGGGTTTTATTTCTTTTTTACTGGGTTTGAATTCGAACACTGAGGTGACTGTTCAGAAACCAAATTTTTTATTGTAATTGCATCATAGTTAATAAGTATGTGTAAGAGAATAATCTTGTGAAAGCTGATTACCTCTGTTATTAATAATTAGGATTTATGAGGCAAGTAATATGCTGCAACTATATCCAATTCCATGGCAATTCCATGTGGTAAATTGAGAGATAATTTTAGAAGTAATCCTGTGAATGCATAAGGCTGTGAAATCCTAAGTGACAACTGAGCTGGCATTTTAGGTTATGCCAGTGGCTTCTCCTTGTGCACACTGGCTGTTTGAAGTTGGTGTGGCAATTTTAGAAGTTCTGTCTCATTTGTGAGGTACACAAATTTATTCAATTTTAATGTCATTGTTCTTTGCTTAATTTTATTCTTAGCAACATTTTTGTTTTTTTTTCCTGGATTCTTCTGGCAGAGGAATTAATACATCTGAAGTTTATGTGCATGTACACATGGTTGGCTGTTCCTTATGGGTTTTTTTGTATTTTTTTTTGATTGTTTACTACCTACCAAACAGGCCTAGTACACATAATATTTTTAATATCTTTAAAAAGATTAATAGAACACTTTTAATCTACTCTTTTTTTTTTTTTTTTTTGGATTCAGTGATACATGAACTCTCACAAGTCTGGAGAGAACAATTAAAAATCTAACAATTTTTTTCTGCTCCTTCTGCCTTCAAGCTTAGCCAGGAGCTTAAGCGGGTGCCCGTCTTTAAATAAGCAAGTTTTGTTGATCTTGAGTTAGAAAATTTGCACTCTGGAAGTCAGGCACGTGTTGGTGCACCAGACTGCATTACAGCCCGTGTGTGGCTACCCCGGCCCTTTCTCCGCCAATTCCGTACTCACGTGTATGTTTGGGCAGTCGGTTCGGCAGCCTTTGCAATAGTTTGCCATCAAGTCTGATAACCCTTCTCTTTGCTCCAGTCCTCTTTTATAATTAAACTCCTTTCTTGCAACAAACATACTCATCACCTCAGCTTACAAACTTCCTAAGTATCAGTTCAAGATTTGGTGTCTGCCAAGCAGAAGCCAAGTGGGGTTTTTTGCTTGAACGTACTCCAGGGAAATGAACCACCCCCTTGCTCCTGCCAGCCACAGTGACTTGAGGAGTTTCCCCAATGTATGTGCTCTCCCTGCCCAGAGGACAGAGCTCTCATTGCTGGGTGGGGAACGCCTGGGCCGCAGATGCGTAGCGGGGTGGTCCCGCACCCCCAGTTCTCTCCCGCCAACGGGGCCGGAGCCCTAACGCGACATGAGCCCCCCGGGCGGGCGGCTGCTGGGTGGCAGGGCTCCACCAGCCCGGCATCTGCCACCCCACTGCCAGGGGCTGTTCCGGGCCCAATCCCCACATCAAAGGAGTTTGTATTACTCTTTTTCCAGTTAAAGTCTGCGGAGGGTAAGGACAGCCCAGTGCCCTCTTAGCCAGGTGTGAGGAAACATGTTCAGCCTGCCAAAGCTTTCCCTGCTCCCAGCTACTTAGCCATTTCCTGGAGGTCACTCAGATGTAAATGACTTGAGTGTTTCACCACGAATTTGGGTGGCAGAAAACTTGAGAGTGAAGGCCAAGATTAACAGGAATAGGTATGCGCCCCCACGGCCTTCAGTGCAATCCTCTGGGCTGCAGAGCATCCCAGGCTGTGAAGGCAGGGCCTGGGCTCCAGCATCTTCGTGCATTCGAGGTATTTCTGTTCTGCAGATCCGGATCGGGTGCATCACACAGGAACAGAAACGACACCTCGGTTTGAGGTTGCGTTTGAGGGAAACCTGACAAATGATTCAGGGTTGCGATTCAATACTAGGAGAGCATTCTAAATGATATTTTGCATTCACATCCAATGGGACATCTAACAGTGGAGCTAAATAATTACTCATGCTAAATGCTGCACATACCGTGACAAGGTGAATTTTAAAATATAGAGATCATGATTTTTTTACAGCAGTAGAGAAATTTTACCTGCAGAGAAGCAGATAGTGAAACAAGGGTATGTTGTAATTACTACTAAATGCAACAGTTAGGAAAAGCGCCCGCGTTACTTCTTTCAGGGACTCTGCCGCCGCTCAGCAGCCGGGGTGGGCAGCGGTGGCTGCGGGACCCGGGCAGAGCTCGCACCCTGCTGAAACATGCGGTTTGTTTTGCTTTTTAAAACCTCCTCGGTTCTCCTTTTATTTAAGTCGTCGATAGGATGTACCGAAATCGCGGTTAAATTTCAGTGTTTTCACACACACAGGGGTTTCAGGGTGATGTAGTCGGTCAGAATTCCCCGCGGACTGGCGGTTTATGCCCTGTTTTCTTACCGAAAAGCTGCTCCTTCTCCCAGCTTTCAGCTTCAGCCGCCGGCGGCCCGCCGAGCCCAGCGCCCTCCCGACCCACGGGGCAGAGGGGCCCCCGCCACCCGCGCGTGGGGCGCCCGCCGCTCCCCTCACGCATAAAAAAAAAAAAAAAATCAAACATTTTCCCCGCGTGGAGGGCGCTTGTGCGTTCCTCCAGCGAAAAGCTGTCACCATCAGGAACTGCAGCAAGAAGGCCCCGAGCGCCAGGGAGGGCCGGTCTGCTTCGCCGTCCACAAAACCGGCCTCGCCGCCGCTCCCGCCCGCGCCACACGCGAGGGGACGTTAACGCTGAGGTAAATTAACTCCGCTTTCGCCGGTGCGAGACGCCGCTCACCGCTACCGAGTCCCGGGGCTGCTCCGGGACCGCGCTGCCCGCCCCCCCCCCCCCCCCCCCCCCGCGCTCCCTGCGCGGCCGCGGGAAGGCGGCTCGACCCGGCCCCCGGGCAGCGGCTGCCGTGAGGTGAGGCCCTGGGCGCTGCGGGCGGGACCGCGACCGGGCCCTCCCTCCCTCCCTCCCGGGCGGCCCAGCGCCGGCTCCTCGCAGGTGGGAGCAGCCCCCGCCGCCGGGGATCCCGCCTCCCCGCCCGGCGCAGCGGCGGTGCCGGTTGCTTCCCCTTCGCCGACTCGCAGGGAGCGAGCGGCGGCGGGCGGGAGGGGCTGCCCCCCCCCCCCCACCCCAGCCCCGGCCGCGGCGGCCCCGAGGAGCGGGCGATGGATGGGGAGGGCCGGGCGGATCTCGCCAGCGACGAGGCGGCGCCGCGGGGGAAGAGGAGATCGACCCCCCGGCCGCAGCCCCGCGCCTGGAGCAAGCCCCGGCCCCAGTCGTACCAGAGCCCCAACGGGGTGCTCTACACCGACTTTCCCGTGGAGGACAGGTGCGCCTTCACCGTGACTCAGCCCGCCGGCACGCTCAGCACCTGCCCGGGCCGCGCAGCGCTCCGCAGGGGCCCCTCGCCGTTCGCTTCCAGCATGGGATCGGTGTCCAACGGGAAGGGGCGGCCTCCAGCCTGCGGAGCCGTCTCCCCGGAGCGGCCCTCCCGGCTGATCGCCCTGCTCCCGAACAGCCCTGTGGGTTTTACTGCCAACGGCACCATTACCTCACCGGGAGGCCAGCTGGGTCGGCCCCCGAGGATTTCCAGTCCGTCAGCGCTCGCCCCGCAGCAAGAGCGGATTGTTTTCACAGCCAGCCCTCACCCCTCGCCTCCTGGAAACGCACCTTCCTCCAGCAACAACAGCGCGGCGGCGCTGCCCTCGCCATGCCACCAGGTCTCCAAAACACCAGAAAAAGCGCCGCCGGGGCCCCCCGAGGCGATGTCCCCGGAGCAAGGCGCAACTCCTCAGAGGCCGGCGTCCCCCCAGGAGCAGCCCGTGGTCCTGAGCACCAACAGCCCCGCCGCTCTCAAAGTGGGCGTGCAGCAGATCATTCCCAAGAGCCTGGCTTCCGAAATAAAGGTGACGAGCAAAGGCGGCGGCCAGAGCGCGGAGACGAGCCGGAGGGTGCTGAAGGTCCGCAGCATGGTGGAGAGCCTCGGCGTGGCCCTGGTCGCCGAGCCTGAGGAGGAGGCCGAGGGCGAGCTGGACAGCCCGGGGACCCTGCGGCGCGGCCTGAGGTCCACGTCCTACCGCAGAGCTGTGGTGAGCGGCGTGGACTTCGAGAGCTCTTCTAATTTTAAGAAAAAAAACAGAATGTCCCAGCCCATCCTTAAAGCGGTTGTTGAAGATAAAGAGAAATTTTCGAGCCTTGGGAGGATGAAGGTAAGTTATCCTGCTCGGTGACATGTGGAGTTGAATAGTGTAGGCTACACAGGAGCGTGATTTGTAATCTCCCTTGTTTTCCTTAAGTGTTGGGGGTTTTTTTCGGTTTGCTTTTTGATACCACGAAACTTTCTGTAGTTATTGATGAGTCTCACAGATCACTCACAAGTGTTGTTTTCAAAAGAGCCTTCAGGGACACAAATCTGGGCAGCTCAGAAATGTGTTGATGGCAGCCTCACGCTTGCATTTCCTGCTGGATTCCCCAGCACGTCGAGGTTCTCTTTCACAATCAAATTGACGTTTTGAAATCCGTTTCCCAGAAAGTAGTAAACAGGGGAAAAAACCCAACATTGACTTAATAAAGTGTGCCTGGTAGAGTAGAGAGACTGACAGAAAAAATAACTTCTTCCCTTACTCCTCTGAGATGTTACTTTAAAAATATTTTTAAAAATCAGAGTGTGGTTTTTAAATTGATAGAGACCACTTCAAATATCTTTTTGTACCTTAATTTTAATGTCTGGAAGTAAAAGCAGATTGCCTGTTTTTAATTCTTGGTTGTAATCCCTTAGGAGTAGTAGATTTATATTGAATGTTAATGTGTGACAAATTCTGAAGACTTACTGAAAATAGTCTTTTACTTGAACATATCATATAGTAAACTTGTATTCCCTTTTTAAATATAATGTTATTTTTAAAAAAATATATTGGTAGATTCAGCTCAATTAAAAATTATGGTTATGGAAGCTTTTGTGAAAATGCTACAAGTGGTGAAATAGCAATGGATCAAATTTTGAACTGCTGCTGAGTGGGGAGGTGGTTTGGCTTGGCTTCAGTAGTAGACTTAACAGCAAGTTATGTTTAAAATAGGAGGACGTGACATTGTCCTGTCTTTACACACACAGCTCTCTTTGCTAGTAGCATTTTTTAAAATAGACTTCTTAAACTGTATGACTTGTTGCACCCAAACAGCTGTTTAATTTCAAAGGTTTGTTTTGGTCCGAAAATGTTAGTTTACAAAATACTTAATGTGGTGGTTCTTTGCATAGTGTGTGGAAAGAGGCGGCCTGTCAGTCGTGTACCTCATATCCTCCAGAAGAGCCCAGGGACAGTGACATGAGTTGCAAGTTCACTGAACTCTTGTAAAGCTTGTGTTTCTATGCTTTTCAAACATAAGAAAAATAAAGCATTTAGAACAAATAGGTATAAACAATGCCTGAGAGAAGGGAAACTAGTGTAACTTTTCACTTTCTGTGATGAAACAATTGTTTTCATGAATACTTGTCCAACATCAGAGGTTTATAGATTAGGGCCAGTTAATTTGGTACCTAAATATCAAATAGAAGTTCTTGTTATTGTTGGTTATTTTTCATTCTCCTTTTAATGTGTATGTATCTCTTTCCTGTTGAAATTATCAGAAGAAAACGCTGAAAGGACAAGGGACGTTTGATGGGGAAGGTAAGCCCTTTGCTGCACAGACTTGATAATATGCTCAATCACGAGAGAGATGAATTTCAGGATAATTTTGCACGCTTCTTTTGTATGTAGTCACAGACTAAGTACCTTGGTTTTCAGTAAACTGACTAAAATATGGAACCATTATTTTGGCACTAGACATACTTTAGAGACTATTTTAAAGAATATAGAATGGGAGGCTAAAGAGGAGGTTCTGTCTGAAGGGCTTCTTTTCAACTTAAACTGCTGTCCCTCCTAAAAGCGGAACTGATGGAGGTGTCAATGTCAGCCCTCGCAGTTGTGTAGAGTTATGGAGATGAGGCACGTTCTCCACCTGGCTCTGCCAGCTGGCCGGGACGCTTCCCAGGTGCAGGACGTAGCTTTTGATGATCAGCTTATGGGTTTGGGTCATCACTTGCAGCAGACACCTGAATCGTTATTCTCTAAATTGGTGGTTCATGCAGCTAGTTCTCTCTTTTCCTCATCAGGTAAGGGTGCTGAGGTGAATTCTTTGACTTTAATCCTTTCCTTTTCCTGCTACCTAGACTTCAAGTTTGCCAGAAAAACGCTGTCCTTGTATCTGCTTTTTTTTATGTTACTTGCTAATTCTGGGCTTTGCCAAGTTTGCTGCTTTTCCCAGTGTTTCAACAAGAAAAAAATTCTTTCCTGGCTAAGAGTCCATGGAAGTTTCATTATAGTAACTGCTATTCTCTTGACCTTAAGGAGGTATTAAGCAGAGAAAAGCCATCTCAGCTTCTGTGTTACCTTCCTTTCTCTCTTATTTCTATTTTCAAAACTTCCTATTTTGTTCTATTTGCTATTCTATCATATCTTAATCTTATTTTCATCTTTTCTCACACTATCTGTTGATGATGTTTTCTAGATTCTCTTCCGAAGGCTTCCTTTTATCTTGGACTGATCCCAACTAATAACTTTCTCTGTAATACCTCTCAGAATTCAGTTGCTGTACACAATTTCCTGTCTTAAAAGTGTATAAACTGTATAGACGCATTCCAGAGACCAAATACAAAAGGCCAGACCTTGTGTAATAGTCAGCCAGGGCGGTATGGGCTGAGCAGGTGGAACAGATCACCCAGCTGGGCATAAGGACCTCAGGAGCTGCAGCTGTGTGTGGAGCAGCCAGACCTTTCGCTGCTTTCCCCTTTCTCTTGAAGAGGAAGATTGGATGTTGTCCAAAGCCTGGCCTGTCTCTAAAATACCTTTTAGAGCTTGCTTTCTTAACAGATTAATGCGTCTGTAGGTTATTTTGGTCTTGAATTTCTCTGTCCTTTTCTGTCTGCTTTTGAAAAGGGTGTGTGGTCAAGGAGGTTGGGCAATGGAACGGGTATGCTCCACACCTGTGTTGCGTTGGCCATTGATATTACTGAATTAATACCAGCAGTACTGAAATATATAATGAGTGTAACTCGTTTTAAGGTTCATCGGTCTCATGCTTCTTCAAGCAAGCCTTGAAGGTTCTATTTGGCATAGTCCTGACCTCAAATTTCTGAAATTCAGATCGTTTCCTTCTCTTAGTGAAGTGCAAAGATGGCATTTAAAGCTGACAGAATAAAAGTTGGCATGGGTAGTGGACTTATAATGGTCTTGCAGATTAAAATAGCTAGACCTCCAAATTAGTGACTCTGCTGTACTGACATGCTTGTTCCATTTTTAAATTGCTGGCTAATTATGAAATGTTGTACAGCAAACCAAGGAAGAAAAAATTGTTTTCTGTATTTTCATGACAAAGGACACATCTGTTCTTTAATTCAGTCAGCGTGGATCTTTTTGGTAGCGGTACAGTGATCCATTGTTACTGTACTGCACCATTGTCCATCCTAAATAAGATACTATCTTTGTCTCGGAGTTTGCGAACAGCACATTTCAACAACGAAAGAAACCAAAATGTCAATGTTACTTACAATTTTTATGAAAGCAACTAAGCTAACTTTCTAGCAATTAATGACATACTGTTGTTGTTTTATAGAAAATGCTGTATTATATCAGAACTATAAAGAAAAAGCTCTGGACATAGATTCTGATGAAGAGTCTGAGCCCCGAGAGCAGAAATCGGACGAAAAGATTGTTTTTCACTATAAGCCCCTGAGATCAACATGGAGTCAGCTGTCCGTTGTGAGTATTTGATCGTTGTAGAGTCAAAGACAGAGTATCTAAGAATGTATTGAAGCAAGTCTTAATTGCTGCTGGAGTTTTGGCTGAAGTTTGTCATCTTCTTTTCCCTTCCAAAACAGAAGGTGTTTGTTTTTTTTTTTTTTTTTTTTTATTGACAAGTTTGCAGCTATTCAGATGTTACTAATCCAAATCTGGAGCTCTTGGTTTAGGATTTAAGTAAGGTAGCTCCCAACAGCTTAAAGCATAAATCGTGCTTTCTCAGGCAATTTTAGTATGCATAGACTGATGGTCCTGCCGGAATCCATTTCCCTAGTTTCCTGACACCTCCCTTTTTCTAGCTTGAGTACTTGGAGGTTCATGTGGACACGCAACAGACTGCTGGTTAGAGTATGTGAGTTGAAATTACCAAGGAAAAGAATTCAATATAGTTTAAGATTAAAATGAATACAGTTTTGAAATGTAAAGGAACAATATTTCATAATTTTACACTTTAAGGTACATTTCTCTTTTTTTTTTTTGTTTTTTTCTTTTTTGATTTCATTTTCATTTTAGACTTGCTGGACAAGAAAAATTAAGCAGGCCTCTCTTTGCACATGGAATTTAAGACCCTGACTTTGTACTGCCCACAGTCACTAGAGCTGGCTGCTTAGGCCTTGCCTGCACGGCGTGTTGGCAGCCGTACCGATGCAGGTCCTCCAACAAGCTATGGTTTACACCAATGTATATTACCGTAGCTGGCTGTTCTGAATGAGGTATTGTCAGAACACCTGAAAAGACAGGTTTAAATCCTAACAGCATGTAAACTCAGTGAAATCCATGCTTTGTAGTTCCTTTCAGTAAATTGGAGTGGTGTGGACCAAACCTTAAATAGGGTTTAGTCCTGTTATTATTGTTTTTTACTACACTTTGTTTTTCATTTCATAAGAGCAACATGGAAGTCCTGATCAATTACTGGTCTTTGTTTTACATGAAAATCAGTGCAAGTGAGAAAGTTCATTTTAGGGTCCTGTATTTGGCAAATACACAACTTTATGATTCGTTAAAAAAAAAAAAAAGTGTATGTGTGAATTCACTAAAAGGGTGAATTATACTAAAGAAAAGCTTCAGTTAGTTACAAACAAGTGTCTGCTGAATTGTTCTGAATTGCTGCAAGCCAACTCAAAGTTGATTTGATTGTATATATTTAATGGAGGAAACCATTTTTAAAAAATTGAGTATTGAGATGGTGGTAATCTGCTATGTTTAGCACAGTGTGAAGCATCTGCAGTGGCTTTTTCTTAGTAATATTGTTAAACTGCTTTAATCAGTACTGTAATCTTGATAGCTTCCCTGCTAATAAGATGGCAAATTAACAATGCTAGTTGATATTTCTACAGGCTTTCATTGTATGCATGATTTTGAGACTACAGAAACTGGAAAAATTCTGTGTTTCTGTGGTTAATTTTATCCTTTGATCATTTCTGTGGCTTCTGGAGGGATATCCCTAAAATGAAGCATTTCGGGAGTTTTTTGATTGTTATTTATGTAACTTGTAGAATGTTGTAGAACTTCATCTTTAAATGTGGCATAAGAAAGATTATTACATGACGTGATCACCTAGAATGCTTGACAATTGGGGCCACTGGCTGTATATATCCTACACAAATTAGTTATAAGCCTCAGCAAAATCTTCTAAGGCTGTTTAGTTTAAGGTATTGAAATATGAATCCCTCTGATTCAGTAATTACAAAGAAGGCAAGACAATGTGGTTTTGCAAAGACGTGCTTTAAATTTTTTCTTCCGACAGATTAAGAATTTAAAATGTAGTTAATTTGCTTAATGTTGCAAAAATATTTGTTTATAATTAAAATTGGGGTTTTTTTCCTGCCTTCTAGGCAAATTAGCAGTTAAATGTTCAGCAGCTGAGGTATTTTGGAAGGAATGCTATTCAGTAATAATAATAATTTCAAAAACACTAATTCGTTGTGAGGCCAAAATAGTATGAAGATCGTGACAGTAAGAGAACCGTTTCTGTGCCGCGCTTATAGTTGTATAAACCAGCTTGTTCTTTATGATTTCTAGCACAGCAGACTTGTTCAGTGTCTTTACTTGATTTATGAGCTTGGAAGTGGGGAGTATGTGGGAAAAGGTAGTGCACCGAGAAAGCAAAATATGGGAATCTGAATCTCATCGTGTCTGTGTTTATAACTCTCTGGAAAAATTACATGCTGTCAATGTGTATTAAAAAGTGAGTATGGAATTGTAACAGGAAGTCAGCTGGGAAACGTCAAAGTATTTGGTTTCAACATACATTAGGAAAGAAGGAGCATAATATGTTTATGGTATGTGTTAGCAGTGCCTGTGCGAGGAAGTCGAGGGGAAAGAGCAGAATGGATCTACCCTTTCTGCAGGATCTTCCGTCGGCCGTACAGGCTCGACAGCCGACAGGCTTCTGGCCAGATTTTCTGTTCGAGGAGGATAGTGAAACCTTCCCGTATGGAGTTGTCAAATCCTTTACGATAATAATGAAAAAAAGGACATTCCTGTCCTCCTGCAATGTACTCACACACATGAAACTAAAATTGAGCTTTTCAGAGAACATTTAAATAGTGGTGCTATATTAGTAGGGTGCTATTCAAATTCAGTTCCTTTCAAATTCCTCTCTTGAGCCCTCTTCCTCTTCAGATGCCTGTTACAGATTAGACAGCAGCAGCTAAGCAGATGACTAGGTAAAGAGCTGCCTTGCCTACTATCTCTGTTCCTTCCAGCCGTCACTGGTTAATTTCAAAGTTTAATTTAGGGAGAATAACCAGTATTTCCAAAATGTATTCCAGAAGTATCTTTCGGTCTTTTTGAAGAATTTCCAGCAGATCATAGGCAGTGATACGAACTTGCACACTATATTAAAATGTATTTACTTTCCAACAAGTGCAGCATTCAGTTGGTGTGGATAATGACTATGTGTATTATTGTGCATGCAAAGAATCACAGCACCAGTTAGGTTGGAAAGGGCCTCTTAAGATCATCTTGTCCAACCTCCGTGCTCGAGGAGGTTTAGTTAGAGCAAGTTGTTCAGGACTGTGTCCAGTCAGGTTTTTAGTATCTCCACGAGTGGAGACCTCGCCACCTCCCTGGGCAGCCTGTTGCAGTCTGACTGCTGCATCTGACTGGTGGGCTTTGGACTTAAGGCAGCCCGGGCTGGTGGAAGGTGTCCCTGCCCCTGGCACTGGGGTTGGGACTGGATGGGCTTTAAGGTCCCTTCCAACCCAAACCGGTCTGTGACTCTCTGAAATGTCTGTTTTTCCAGGTTCTTGCTGCCCAGGCTGGAGAATATGATGCATGTTCACTTTTCATTACTGCTGTCAATGCTGCTGTGATTCTCATAAATATTATTGAGATCTAGCACTGGAAACAGATGTCCCATAGCATGGGTAATGCTTATAATTATGGAAGTATTTAACATTAAACAGGTGGTTTAGCATCAAGTCCTCCATTTCATGCCCAGTAGGTTCAGTGCATTTATGTAGCGCTGCATCAAGATTTTGCATGCTCTCTCAACTGCTGTCTCTCCTGAAACTCTTTCCAAGCTTTGGTCATCTTACGTTTTTCTCATTTTTCTGATTATCTCTCCTCTGGCTTGAGACAAGCGCGGTTGTGATTTTTCTCATTCATTTAAAGAGCTGCCGCAAGTTGCTTTACTGAGCCACTCCTGCTGTCACCTTTCCATGGCTGCCTCTTCTCTGGGGTGGTAGACAAAAACTGCCTGGTTTTACTGGCAAGGAACTTCAGGGCTAATCTCTGCATTAGCTCTCTTTTCTCTCCCAGTATCAAAGGGTTTATGTTCAATTTGGTTTATGGTGCAGCCACTTACTATATTTCTCACAGATATATTTCTGGTGTGTTCCCCCCCTGCAGCACCTCATGATTTCTGGAGGAACTTCTTATATATAACCGCGGAGTTAACATGTTGTTCCTTCATCCTTTCCTCCTCGTCTCCAAGTTTGAATCAGTTGTAACTGAGTTGCTGGAAAAAAGCAGTTCAGTGTGACAGTAAGACAACATCAGTAGCTGCAGTGTTGAGTCTTTTCCATTCTTTCTGGTTATGTTCTCAGCTTATATTAAGTTTTTGTTTGCATAGTATCACAAATGTGATTTTTAGGCTATTTCATCTGAAACATTTTGGATACCTCAAAACCAGGAATTTAATTTTCTTTCACAGAGTATGCCAAAAATAGTCTCCGTATTTGGGCCTCTTTCTCTTTGGAAGTATTGCTGTTAATTAAGCCTATAAGGTTGAGTCATTTGCTTATGTGATGAATTTATATGTGTACTTCGTATGTACACACCCATATAAGACAAAACAATGATCACGAAACACAGCTACAGTTTTTTGAACATGAATATAGTGGTTGCTGCATTGACCTCACTGAAAATTTTCAGTTGCTGTATTAACAGGAAGCATTGAAAGCTCTTGGATATGTTCATAGGTATTTCCTGTGTTGGCATATTTTTAGAAGAGTCTTCCACTGCACCCAGAAAAAAGTGACATTGTACTTCGTAGTGCAAGCTTTAAAGCGTTCAGGTTGTTGATTGAAGGGTACTTGAATAATTTAATAGAAAGGCATCTAATTAGTTCTTGCTTGGTATTCAGAAGTGTATGCTTGTGGTGACACAAAAAAACATAACTTGTGTTCAAAAGAACAATTGCATGAACACTGGAATATTTGTTACTTTTATAACTCTATATGTGTGTGTGCATACTTCCGTGTGCATGCAAACCAAAGCGCGGCACTTCTTAATGCCATGCCATCTTTACTCTTGAACCTGCTACCTAGCTTTGTGGTGCCCGGTATGCAGGAATAAAATGAGGCATAACACATACTTTAAAATTCCAGGGAACGAGTGGAATAAGATGAGAAAGCTGTCGATGACAGTACGTTAGGAGCTTTTGGACCAGACTGAAAGAAAAATGGGAGAAGTGCATCTCTTGGGTCTCATGGCCCAGGACATACTGCTGCTCCGGGACGAGAACAGCATCTCCCGTGTCGTGCTGTGAGGTGGCCTCATTCCCCTTCCCTGGCCCAGCATGCTGTACACAGGGCACCCTCCTGATTTGAGGTCCAGAGCTTAACACCCCTCTAGGGAATACATGAAGTTAGTCCCTCCTTGGTGCTTTGCTTTCTGGGTTGTGTTTTTGGTTTGTTTTTTTTTTTTTTTTTGTTTTTTTTTTTTTTATGTTCTCCTGTTAAATGACATAATGAATGTGGTTTGCACCAGAAAAGAATAAACTTCAGAGGTCTCTGGTGTGGAATTTGGTAGCTGAGCACGCGGCTTCAGGCTGTGGAAAATGTGGCAATGGCTGGACTTCGTGATGGTTATATATGGGAGCAAACTTGGCCTTGCTGATTTGGCTGTAGGGAGAGAAGTCATCGTAGGGTTGAGGATAGAAATACAGGGGTATTTACTCAGGACTTTGCCATGTCTGTTTAGGGTAGAGCTGGTGCTCTTCCAGAATACTTGTTTGGCCAGCAAGCTACCTGTCTAGTACTTTGTCTGTGCCTTTAGGCGTGATTAACAAATGAAGACACTTAAGATTTTTCAGACCGACTTGGAAAATGAACCTTGTGTTTACATGTGTCAGTCAAGAAATCTAACTTAAAAGGAGAAAGCAGTTTCCCTGCTTCTGTGTGTGTAAAAATCCAGGGAGGTTGTGCAGGGTGACTGTGATTCAACTATGCATGCTTTTGCTGCAGTAGTTCTGTGTTTGTGTCTTGGGATAGTTTTTCATGAAATTAATTAGTTCTTTTGATATATCAAGTGACAGACTTTATTGACTTATTTTTTTTTTTTATTTCTGCTGGTTCATTGCTGTCTTTCTGAAGCAGACAGATGCTTTTAGCTAAATCCTTAGTGCAGTGTTTTGATAGTCTTGTGGCTTTTTTTTTTTTTTTTAAATAAATTTTTTCCAAAATATGTTAAAATTTTTAATTTATTTTTTAGGTAAAGAAGAATGGATTATCAGAAGCAATCAGCCAGGAAGAAAGAAAAAGACAGGAGGTACTCTTTAAAGTAACACATTCTTTTTTGCTGATTGCTTAGGGATGCACTGCGTGCCTGACTTAATACTCTCTATTTGTTGATAAGGAGACAAGTTCATCACACTGCTTCCTGTCCTAGAGTGAAGTGTCTTCTCTCCCCAGGGAGACTAAGTAAACAAAACCTGTCTCTTGCTGATGAGCATGTGTCCCTGCCACGGGTCCTGCCAACGTCCTGCGGGTCTTGCTGGAGGAGCGGTTCCTAGGTATGCTCGCTCCAGCAGCTGTGGCTTGGATGGTGGCTGCTCGGTAGCAGCAGCCAGTCACTGCTGCCTGCTGTCCCAGGAAAGGTGTAAAAATTAACCTGGTCTTCACAGAGAGTGGGAGGTGGCACGTAAATTTTTAAAGGCAGTGAAGAACAAAGAACAAGTTTTTACAATGCCCCAAAGTTGTAATTAATCCTGTGAACAACTGTGAACTATTCGGAATGTGCCAGCACTGTGTATCTGGTGTAACTAATGTTTTTCCTTTCACACTGAAATGCAGTAGATGCATCCATGCTGTCAGCAGTGCAGACAGCAGCAGCAATTACTGATGTAGTTATCTTTTCTTTCTGGCTCTTTACCCTTTGCTCCTTTTGTCCTCTTTATCTGCTTTACCCTCATTCCTCATGTACAGGGGCTATATCAAAATGAATGAGAGGTGTTGAAAAGAATAGCCTGACCTAGCCAACTATGTACCTGTAGATTTTGAGGTATGTCCTTCCATAGGAAAAAAAATCCCCAAGTTTTTTTAAATAGAAACACTATATATAGCATTACCTGCCATGATAATTAGTTCTAATACCTTCATTTCACTTCAGAACATACCTCAGTGAATGCAGCTGAGTGAGACCCAACTGGGGTTTCCTGTGAAGTTCACAGATGTGTGTAGCAAGCCTCAAATACTAACTGAGCTGTGTGAGCTACAGCTGTTCTGTTCAGACACAATATACAGAAGCATCTTGTATTGCATACATGAGATTTAGACAATAGTTTATTGGGGTTTTTTTGTAATGCTACATTTCTTTGGCTATCCTCTTTTGCTTTTTTTGAGGGAAGATGCTATGCAGCAATTGAGGCCATGTGTTCTGTTCTTCTGTCTCCTCCTGCTGGGAAGCTTTGAGACACAAGGCATTTATTTCAGTCATATCCTTTAGGACCTTTAGTCTATGTTTCCTGGAGTCATATTTACATCCCTTCAAAGAGAACAAGTTCTTTAGATGCCTTTTAAATGTCAGGTCTTTAGTGCTACCAAAAATTTTTTCAAGCCTGAAGTGTTTTTTATTTGAATATGAGGCCCATCCTTTCAGAGGGAGCCTAAGTAGATAATATTAAGATGTAGTTGTACTACCAAGTAATGCCTTTGCTGTAATCCTTTTAAATTGCCTCTTATCAATTATTCTTTAAATTGATTTTTAGAGCCTAATTGATTATTTTTGCTATCATAATACATTGTCACTGCAGAAAAATATATTTGTTTACTTTCTACCTTGATTAAGTGTCAATGTCATCCATTTATACACATTCCATCTTTCAGAACACATTAGTGAGATGGGTCTCTGTGCCTCTTTTGCCTAAAGAAAATGTGTCATACAGGTAGACTAACTTGAACTAAAATAATTTTCAATAGATCTTCTTTCCTTGCAAGCTGGGAATTCTAAATGTATATGTGCGTACAAACTGCAGTAATGCATCTGGCCTTTTAGGAGTGTTTACTGTCCATCGGGGTTCAAAAGTCTGTTTACCCTGATATCATGCAAATGAACCACAATGTGGTTGCAGGTGTCATTCAGACACCCTGTTAGCAAGCACCCGGTAAATGCCACCACAGCTTCTGACTGTGGTGTGTAGTTACTGTACGACAAATTCAGGATCCTTTCGTAATCCTTTTTTATTTTTTTATTTTTCAAAATGTGTTTGAGTCATGGTAAGATGATACTCTCTCCTTTCCTTACATGTTAGAAGCAAAGTGTCTTTCTTTATTCCGTTTATTTCTGACTGCTAATGACCTTCTATTACCAAACTGGAAGAAGTTCATGAGGGTCCTCAGTAAAAGCATAAACAAAACTCCTCCAAAACAACAACAATAAGGAAGCTTGTGTATTTGTGTTGAAAAATGTCTATTAGCCATGGAATTTTACAGCAATCGTTAGGTAAATCCTTTCTTTGTGAGCACAGCTGGGAGGAGCACAGGGAGACTGACGATTGGGAATGTAACTGCTGGGCAAAGGCCAAAATGCCCTTTTTAGGCCCCTTTCTGCACTTTGTTACCCAGCAGCAGGTAGATTTGCCACCAGAGTTTGGTTGACGTCTGTATATGTTCTCTGGATTCTTGAGGCTGATGGAGTTGGCAGGCAGGCAATTTAACATTATTTTAAGCATCACCTTTGCATATCTTCTTGCACATCAGTACTCACTCTTGTGAATAACATGTAGTGTGTTCTAGCTCTTACCTACCTGCTGCTGTATCTCCCACCAGATCCTGTCAGCTTTTGAGGTAGGTTGTAAGATGGAGACACTACTGTTAGGTACATTACAGTTCCTTTCTTGGATGTGTAATGGCCCTGTAGGGTTTCTGTGGAGTGCAGTTGCCTTTGCTCTGCATAAACTTTTAAGGCCTCAGCTAAAGCAGATTTTTTTGTTTTGTTCTAAGAAATCCCAAACTTGTTATTTTGTTATTAAAATCTCAGCTCTTTGAAGAAGACTTTTTAGAAGGACAAGGATGATTTTGAAAGTGCAGTCTGGGAACACTGAGACTCGGGATACCCAAGAGAAATTGTATTTGATCGAAAGCTTACCTTAGGAACACCAGCAGAATTCACTAGACTTGAACTCTTTAAGAAATCTTCCGAACAAAAGTTCTGAGCAGAGTGCTTTGCATTCTTTTCCCAGTATGGTTTGTCTTGGTTGGGAATAATCAGGAGGACTGCCTTCAGCCTGCCCAGAGTCTCCCTTGCCTTTATCCCTGGAGATGGAAGAGCAGGGTTTCTCTAGAGCACGTACATCAGAGCATCCAAGTGAAGTCCTGGGGACTGCCAGCTGCAGAGCCTCTCTCTCTGTTTGGAGAGCCGTGGGCATTAGCCTTTCTAAATACTCAGTCTGCACCCTTGCATTTAAAGTAGATCTTTCTCCTTTGGTTTGAGAATGCTTAGAGAAGTTAATTGCAGATAACTAATGAAATTATGCATGGAAGTATTAACGTTAGTTATAAACAAAGAGAACAAAGTTATATTACCTGTGCTGATGGTATTCTGCATTAGTAATGCCTGGAAGGGAGCACTGATGACAAATGTGACTTGGTGGAGCTCATGACAAAAGGCTTCCTGAAAATTATTTAATTTTTCTCTGTGTATATACATACAAGAACTTCATTAGATTAACATCACATAAAGCCTAGAGGTAAAAGATGTCTAAAAGCTCAGTAGGTTTCTACATGAGAGATGAAAATTTCCAGTAGAACAAGTATGTGGATTTCAGAGTCCAAGAGCCCATTAAAAGTTTGCTCGGTGTGTCCGCCAGCTGATGGGAGTTATGGGAGCTACTCTTTTGGGGTGATAAAAGGCGAACTGGGGTGAGAGGATGTGCTGGGGGTCTGCCTGTCTGGTGCCTGGGCACTGCAGGGGGGTCTGCTCCAGCCCGCTGCCCCTGCGCAGACGGCTCAGCTCCGCTCCCCACGCTGCGCCCGGCTGGGGGTGTTAAAAGTGCCCCGGGTGGCACTGCTGATAGGTGACTAAAACCTGAATGTGCAGAGAGGGTTGCTTTTCTGCAGGTGCAAACAGTTTTCTGTTACCCAAGAACTCTTTCAAGTAAATAACTTAGCAGCTTCTGTTTAAAAAAAAAGCAAAAGTAAATACCGGCTGGTCAACAGTTGTATGACTGGCATGAAGCTTCCAACCGGACCACAGAAACAGATGTGTTCTTTATTTTTTAAATTGAAAAACAAACAAACAAAAAAACAAACAAAAAAAAAAGCAAAAAAACAAAAAAAAGGCAAAAAAAAAAAAAAAAAAAAAAAACCAAAAAAACCCAAACCCCACCTCAGGAATATGAATGAGGAGTTATCACAACTGGTGTTTTTTCTTTTCAGGTTCTCCGCAGTTGCATTGCAAAGTCTGAACATAGACTTTTTAAAGTATTTCTAAGTAAATAATGCCGCTATCATGGAAATGAATATTTATGTTATAATCTCTAGCTTATATCCAATAACTTTTCTTTGCACCCCTCCTCCACATTTTCCTTTTTTTTTTTCTTTTAAAAAAAAAACCTACTCAATAGTAAGTCTTTTCTTTCCCCCCTCCACTTTGCAGGCAATATTTGAAGTGATATCTTCTGAGCATTCTTATTTGCTGAGCTTGGAGATTCTGATCCGGATGTTTAAAAATTCCAGGGAACTGAGTCTCACGATGACCAAAACGGAGAGCCATCACCTTTTCTCCAACATCACGGATGTTTACGAAGCAAGCAAAAAGTAAGTGTAGCAATGCATTTCTATATTAAAAAAGAAAAAAAAACCAACCTAAATTATAAGTTTAAATTAAAAATATAGTAATTATAAATCTCAGTTATTTACACTATTTAAATTATAACTGAGGTTGTGGTTACTGGTCATCAGAATATCTTTCAAGCAAGTAATGAAATATAGTATACAAAATAATGGTTTTTGTGTTACCACAAAATGAAGCAACAGCTGCAAGGTAGCAAATTCAGCAAAAATTAAGACATGGCAGTTTAAGAATGAGAAGTCAAATGTTGCACATGTTAATATGCGGAGTCTTAGTTTTTTATAAGCTGTAAACACATTAGAATGCAATTCAATTCTCTGTTCTTTGACAGCATCAAAATATGTGCTCTGCAGTGCTAAAGAATCCTTTCATATAATACAAACAGCTAAGGTTTTATTTTGCTCACCATGGATTCTGGTTTTGTACTATTTGTTAGCCCCTGTTTAATTGTATTATGTTTTCATTATATACCTCACAGGCAGCTCGTCGAACAGTAGAGCTTTGGTTAGTACTATCTATGATATATGGTGGTATTTGCAGACTCAGCCTGCGCCTCACCTGCACTCTTGTTCTCTGAGGCATCTTGCTCTTATTTGGAAAGATACTAGCTTCTCTTGTCAGAATACTCTCTGGTTTTAAAGTTGAACAGTTGTTTACTTTTCTGGCTGTACTGATTTAGTAAGGAGAGCTTACAGGTAAGCTGAACTGGAGATGTCTGGTTATTAATTTAATACCTGTTTGAACATAAAACCAAGTTTCTTATTGGAATCTCAAGTAACGGTTTCAAGAGTGGTAACCATTCTTTCTAAAACTGCGTGCTGGTTGGAAGGTGGAAAATACAAATAACAGCGGACATGCACATGAGTTTGACAGACTCACCTTGCCACTATGTTTGAGCTTGCATTTAATTAGTTTCTCTGAAAATTGGTGGGGAAGGAGAGAATATTGTGTATTTTAGTAGAAATAAGCATCCTTCAAATCCAAACAGTGCCTAAGCTCAATGTTGATACTCAAGCATTCATACTCAGTCTTTACGGTCTTTCAAATTAAGCTTAGTTTGTCCTTACTGAACTGTTAAAAATTGAGCAAGAGTTTCATACTTGCCCTTAAGAACTGACTCTTGCCAATGTTTTCCTTAATCAGTTGAATCACTGTTTACTTTCTCCCGAGTACTCAATGTGCAGCATACTGTGTGACTGTGGTATCTTTTATGTAAACAGCATAGGCGTTTTACTGTTTATGAGCAGTGCTGTGCAGCCATAGCACCTGACACCCGAGGCTTGTATTTCTGTTAGAAAGGAGATCTGCTGTGCTGTGCACTTTTTTTTTGGCAAGTTTCTTCACGACAAAGTCAATAACAAGAAAAATGGACACGCTACAAACAGTGCTTAGTGAAAAGGAAATGTTGGCAAATCTTACACGATACAAATGCTGAAAAGTCTGGATGATGATTGCTGATAATTACTGCTAGCATTATTTAATACAGTACATGCATACATATGTGCACTCACAGCATACTTCAGGGTTAGGAATACTTCAAACTTCATTTCAAAAAGTTGCTTAATGAGGCTTTGGTTTGTTATAATTTGTTTGTTATCATTGCCTGGCTAATAGCAATATCAGCAGGTGAATTACTGTGGTCTACATAACTAAAAAATAAAAATGTGCTTTTTTCCTTATATTGTATTTTCAGTTTGAAATCAAGTACAATGGCTAAAGGATGCACATGGCCTAGTTAAGATACTGATTGATCTCAACCATAGCACTGTACAGCTTTAAATTTATCTCTCTTTACCTGTGGAACAGAAAAATATTAGCCTCATTACAGAAATGGGGCTAATGGTTGGATAAGGAATCTGTCAGGAATATTTCTGGAGTCAGTCCTTCCTACCTTTTCAGCTTTTTTTTTTTTTTTTTTTTTTTTTGTTCCTTTTTCTTTTGTCTCCTTTGTTTCTCTCTTGTAGAAATTGTGATGTTCTGAATTCTTTAGCATTATATCCACATTTACCTTTGTGGAACTTCTCAAGTTTCATGTTCCCAGTCATAGTAACGTCCTTTCTTGGCTTCTTTTTCTCTGAAGCCCCACAAAGTCTGTGGAATTTTACATCTGTTGTGCAGCAGTTTGACTTTGTCTTCTGAAGTTTATGCAGTAATAAGATATTTTTTCATTGATCATGTGTGAGTCAGTCTAATGTGTCATGTCAAGTGCAAACCTAGTTTAGGAGCTGTATAATAGGTGTACATTTGGACGTGTTGGGTATACCTTCATTTCTCCATCCCCCAGTTCCCTTTTGTTTCTCTCTCTTTCTTATAGGTGAGGTCTTTTGCCAGAAGTTGGGTATTGTCTGAATCCACAGCCACCACAGAAATGAGTTGTACGACAGCAGTGTTGTCAGGGAGTGCAGGTTATCAAAGTCTGCATTTTCAAGGAATAGTACTTTCAAAAGGCTTTTCTTTTACAATTCACATTTCATGTAAGGAGAAGTAAAGTATCGTGAGCCTTTTTTTTGCTAGACAAATGTTGGTGTCACAGAGCCATTGTGTATTAGAGGATAATTGCCATCTTTTTTAGATAGCTTAATAGAAAGCAAAGGTTTAATTAGCCTGCAGACTTTCCCTCTCGTTTGGATTGTTTCTCTAAGACACAGATGACCATACCAGGATAGCCCTATGAATAGGTTTTCTTTCCCCTGTGTTTTCAGTTGTGTTGAATAAGCCTTCCAGATCATTAAATCCACTTCCAAATTTCTCATTGAAAATATTTAAAGCAGAGATGGGGGTGAGGAGAGCAATATTTTTAGGGGAATTCTTACAACCCTTTTGATTAATAGTCTTCAAAGGAAGTGGGAAGGGGAAAAAAAAAAAAAAAAAAAGAAAGAATGGAAAAATATCACACTGGGCCTAGAATTATAATCTTATTCTTCCTTGTCTGGAAAGTCTAATGGTTTAAGAACTTGTTTTTTTATAACTTGGAGTAACAACAGAATTTGTAACTCCTTTTTAAACTTAAATGAAAACATATTTTGTTTCCCAAGTTACGCAATACTGTTAAACTGTAACAAAACTTTGTGCTGGCTTTCTACAACCTCATCTGTGTAAATAATGAAAGTGATTTTAAAACAGAAGCCTCTTTCTTGGTATCTACAAACCGTCACTCCCTGCTTTCAAGGTCTTTCAAGGTAGCAAAATCCCTCCTTTTGTTATAAAACTGAGCATCTGTCCCATTATGCTATATTTTAAGCAGCCTTTACTTAAAAATACAAAATCTGAGTATGAGCGTAGTTATAAGTGGTTTTGGTTGCTCAGACAAAAGCTTGGTGAGCTGAGGAACGTGAACTGATAAAAATACTATCTTTAGTCAAAATTACTTAGAGCTTATATCTAGGAACTTTGACTTAGAATATGTTTAATGGAAACTCTCCAGAAACACCAAGATAGGCTTTTAATGCATGACAAGGCCATTTCTGATGAAACAAAGCTGCCTTTGTTAGAAGCCAAATACAGACAGCAAAGACCGTCTCTGCTTTTGGGAGCTCGTTGGTATGTCTCTAACAAAGAAGAGTTGATCTGTATAATTTGTGCAGCATACAGTGTGTTTGTCTATGAAAACATCTTGTAAGGTGGCTTGCGGGAGCTTAAGGCTTTTATTGTGTGTTTGCCTGTATGTGTAGTACGGGAGTTCGTAACCGGTAGAACACCCAACCACAGGAGCTGCCAGTCAGCGAGAGCTGGTACAGTGAGCTGTAAGCTGGCAGGGATGCCATGGGCGCCTGCTTGCCCAGAAGTGAAAGCTTGGGCAGTCTGAGAACACTGCAAAATGAGGGTCACTGGTGAGAGCTCTCCCCAGCCTCAGCCCCTGGTGCAGAGGAGGTCAGCTGCCCAAGAGCCTGTCTCGGGGAAGAGGAGCTACAGGGAAATTAGTGAAAGTCTCGAAGAATAATTGGTCTGACAGGTCAAATCACCAAATTTATAGCAGAAAGAAAAGCTTTAGCATTTTGTTTCTCTCTCTGCCACTAGGCCAGCAAAAGTCAAAAAGCTTATGGAATATCAGACGATTAGCATTAGCAGAAAAAGACACCAGCAAAAAGTACTTTGGCAGGTTCTGACTGTTTTTAAACCCTGCGTCTTGGTTTTGGTAGAGAAGCCCATGTGGGTTTGTGAGGTAGGTTAACATCTTGTCTGTGTATCTTAATTTAATATTACATGTGTGATTATATGTTAGGAACCAGGTAAGCTTTCTCAGAGCACTTGTTTGTAAATTAGGTTAATGTTTCACATCTCTCCAACATACTTTAAATGATGCGGCTGCATCTTTTTCCATAGGAAAATACAGTCTTAGTGTTCATTTAAGAAGTGTGTGTATTGAATCAGTTAACTAGGCATTAAAAACATTACTTTGAGAGAATGCAGAGTTCTGTTGGTCAGTTTCTTTGGAAGATTAAAAAAAAAAAAAACAACAACAAAACAAAGCAAAACAAGAAAAAAAAAAACAACAATGAGCTATAATGAAAGAGAATTAGTCATATGTTCTAGATTACCAATTTGATTTCCAGGTAAGACAGTGATACAAGTCATTAACATCCTTTTTTCCTGTTTGGTCTAGACTGATGGTCTTAGTCTGTGTTCTGTATTTTACCACAGTTCATGCAGTTAGCAGTTTTTGAAGAAAGCTGAGTAATGTCTTGAGGGTATCCAGCTGAGTGTGGTTACCCTGGTGGGTACGTGACGCTGAGGTGGGATCTGGGGGACAATTTCTGTGCTCTTTCGGAGAAGGTTGTTCATCCTGGATGTTTGGAACCAGATAAGTGGTTTCTTTACCAGTAAGGCTGAGCGACTGTTGGATGCAAGGGACAGAGTAATGGGAACAAGAGGAAGGAGAGTCCTCCCAGGTGCGGTGGAAGCAGGGTGGGAGGCAGCCGGGGCTCTGTGCGGGAGCCGGAGCGCTGCCCTGGCCCACAGCCCGTGG